TGCATGCGGGCCTCTTTGGATTGAGACATTTATATAAAATTGATAGGGATAGCACGCGTTGATACTTGTGTATTCAAATATTTTGAGAGAGCGGCGAAAATTCGCGGTTCGGTGGTTGATTACGTTACAGCAGGGTGGTGTGTCCGTAATAACCTGCTGATTCTTGTCTCCTTTTCCACTTCAATAATCAGCCTCCCGCTCCTGCCCTATCAAATTTGCTGATTCCTCAAATACACATACAAATTTTGGGTAGACGTTGTGACCTGGCGATTTATTATTAAGCTCACAAGCAAGGAGGTTGTTGAACCCACTTACTCTCTGAATCTCATTCCTTCTCAGGCAGTCGAATCCTATGCCTTCACACAGGCGATTCCGATCCGTCAGCCCCAATGCCCCCAAGGAAAGTAATCAAAGAAGAAGAACAGGTCGCAATTATTCAGATACAGTCATGGGCAGGTCCCTTGTATCTTATCCAGTGAGTTATTCTTCAACAAGGGGAGTGTAGCTCAGAGTGCCTATCTGAAAAAGAAGAAGCCAGAATATGAAGAATAAAAAGAGAAGCATTCTGACCCGATTTTGACCATGCTGCTGACTTTTATGATTTCCAGCCTACGCTCAAGACACAAGCACCCTCTACCACCGGAGAGCCAGAGTCACTGAGTGGCGTCTCAGCCCGAATCTTTGATTCACGGAGTCACAGTGGATCAATAGAACAACAGACTGACATCAGGGCTGCACACCACTCCACACCTCAAATTAGCAACAGGGAGCTTGAAAACAAAACGGTCACATCAGGTGGCGGTATAAGCCAAGTAAGTGAGCTGAAAGGGACAAGGTATTCTATAGGCACTGAATACCTAACAAGAAGAATCAAAGCCCGCTCCACCAAGCGAACCCCTGAGGTATGCGCTCCTTGAGTTTCCCTTCTCAATGACTTTGCTCACTTTTGATATGGAAGCGTCAACTTTCCAGGGAATACGTTATTCATCATCTTCAAGGAAGAGTGAGTTGTGCATATATACGCGCTATTCTACTGTGCTGATGAGGGAAAGATTTCTGTCAGATACTGAAGCCGACCCAATTATGGTAAGCAAGGCATTTAAATAAGCTTGGTTTGCGCTAATATTGAACAGGAGCACTTTGAAAAAGAGCCATTTCAATTATGCTCCTTCAGGACACTTAATTTTGAACCCATTCCCAGGCTTCGCGAGACCCCAGATCCTACCCAAGTCGAAGCGATAATGGATCACAACGAATCTGTTATTTGTGGAGCATTACAAGACCTCAACATGGCAATAAAGTAAGTTTATTAATATTGGGAACAGGAATTTGATGTTAACGGAGATGCGAACGCAGAAAAGCTAGCCATGTATTCCTGGTAGGAGTTGGAGAGGGCTCCATGGTTGCCGCCATGCTCCTGAGAGGAGAGTTTGGAAAATGTATGAATACCAACCTACCCAATGAACCCTTGCAATGAATTTCTGCAGTTATATCCTTACTTGCCTAACAAGCCCAGATATTGACCGCTTAAAAATGAGGGGCATTATATTTTTCATTAGCAACAGTCCGGTACCTGCAGTTTATGCCGACGGACAAAACCTGTCAAGATGGTATCAGCAGGTAAGTCAATGATTCATTGCACCGCTCAGAAACATGAGCATGCTAATTGAAATTGAATATTGGCAAGCGCTCTCGAGTCTATGTCCATGCAAGTCGTGGCTTTTGGTCGGAGGAGAGACGAGGTAAACGCTATGGGAAGTGTTTAAAGCACGAAGGCAGCAGTAGCCTTCCTGATATGTTCAAGGAGAAACATAAAGAAATGGTCCATTGGACCGTGCAGCGCCTGGGACTAACGGTAATTCCCGGCTTTATACCCCTTGCCATATATCTTCTGGCAGCTGTCTGTATCAGGTTTCCGGCGGCGGCGCAAAGCCTTCAGCGGTGGCTCAGTTCCTAAATAAACAGACCTCGCAGTCCAACAAAAGCAAATTTTGACCATGGAGTCACTCAGGACTACGTATTGAGGCGGTGCTCCGTGAATATTTTAGTATTTGTTTGGTGCCGGGGTCATTTTGGATGTACAAGCCCAAGAATTGACCCAGAACAAAACAAGGAATTAGAAGGACGAGGCGTCAGATGCTGGAATCGCGGTTGCCATTATGTAACTTAGGTTCCCTCCAAAATTACTGCCCAAACCTTCAGTGCGCATCGCGCGGATCTAGGGTGCCTGCCCCTTATTCCCGCCCTATTGCCCTCATAGGCTGATGCAAAATCGGTCTTGAAGCCAAACACATCTGAACTTGGGACTAGCAAAAAGAGAAATCTACGGGGTCCAAACACGATTTGACATTCGCATGCATGGATCCAAGTAATATTCTCAATGGAATATGTTCCGCTGCTGAAAGCAACTCCAGACATCAGTATTTCCTTTGAGGAGCAAAAACTAGTTAACTAGTTATGTGACCATGGATAAAAGGTGGTAATCAGTGTTGTTTTACACTGCGCCCCCAGCCTCTTCGTGGATCATCTTTTGCTGTATGAACAACGGTGGTTAATAGCTTGATGTGTATGGTTTGGTACAAGCCAGCAGCAGATCCAAAGCAATGTAGGATAAACTGGTAAGAGCTTTCTCCTTTCGTAACAGTTCATTGTTGTTCATTATCTATGGAATAAATGCAGTTACTGGCTTGCGCCCATATTCATCCACGTTATAAGGTGACAATTATTACCTACTCTCCTCACATCAATCCACAGCCACTAACCCTTCCATCTCTTTTGGTGCCATCTGCTCTAGGTTCAGCCCTCTGGAAGCTCCACTTTGCTCCTAGCTGGCTGTTTGCAACTCGAGTCAGGAATTTGACATGGAGTTAGGCCTGTATATCGTGTATGATGGGGTGAACTACAAATGCACTATCTGTGAATGAATTTTTGGTTCTATCTTTGTGCTCACTGCTGGCAGACATTATAACACTGATAGTGTGAAAGGTGTTTCTAGGTCTTTGTCTTGACTCAAGCAAAAAATGCGCATCTTCAAGCATCCAGCAGACATAACGTCTGTCTGACTTGTCCTCAAGCATAAGATTCTAAGACTGGAGAAGAGCTTCAACACCACCTAGTGAAGTCTCATCACTTTTGTCCAGACTGCAACATTAATTATGATTCTGGTGAACAACTGCAAACTCATGATGTTACCCAGCACCACTCTGTGTCAAATGTGGCGACTACTTTGCGAACAAGAACAATTTGCAGATGGTAATACGCCAGCTAGAATGAATAGTTCAATATGTCTAATGCTAACATTGCCGTTTTCAGCATCAACCACGAAACCTGGAATGCCACAGTTATTACTAAAACTTTAGATCATTTTCCGGAATGTTAATCCATCTGGAGTCTGGGAGTTGCGCGTGGGATATTACCAAGGAGGAAATTGACGATATAGCCCACACTTGTTACCAGAGCCGGAAGTACATAAACAAGACGGAGTTCCCAAAGCTTTCTGCAGTTGACCAACATGCTGAGGATGTTCCGCTATGCCCTTCTCCTCTCAATAGAAACGGTTGTCTGGCTAAGCTCGAACGGTTTGTTGCTCGCAGACTACGGTAGCTTCAGATCTTCCTCTGGGTCATTTTCTTATGATGTTAGACAACGTTGGACAGTTCTTTCAGTTCATATCTTCAATACTCCAAACAATATCATCGCGGATTTGATATGCCCCTACTTCATATTCTTCTCATGAGACTATAATATGGATATTCAATATCTCTACCATATGAGTATTTAATATCTAGTGGTTGTTGTAGTGTGGATATATATATACATAATACTAACTCTGGACAACTACTATAGTAAATGATTATTACCCACCACTCATTCAACCTGGAGATATCGAATCGATATTTTAGATATAGATTAGTTTGATGATAATTATCATGTATTTTATAGGAAAATGTGCCTATCAAGCATTGCCGGAGCCAGATAACGCCTGAATAATATAGATAATTATGAGAGCGCCATTCTAGCCCTGGTCCATAGGGACGATGGAGACCATGCAAATGGGACCTGCTCCAGCTTCTGCTGTCCGTGCCCCATGGATAACATCAGGCGCACTATATTATCACTCTAAGTGATTAGGCTACGAAGGAGCTGAGACAATAGAAAGATGATTTGAAGTAGTATAGTCGGGCAGATCTCTCGCATAGGCAAATGGAGGACTCCGGCTTTTTGTAAATTGCGTGCCGGATACTATCACAATCATACGGTCTAGTCCTAGGCAGATATAAAATGACGCCCCCTCAAACGAAGCAGCTCGCGTATCAAATTAGCTTGTATCATACAGCCAGAGTTGGGAGTGTCTAATTAAATATTATACATCAGCGCATCGAAGAATCTAAATCCACTCTGAACCCCTAGTCTGACTCCTCGTCCGACCTGGCATTTTTCTGGTTCCGCAGAGTCCGGTTGCTCTCCATCGCCCGGTTCAAATCATAGCTCTCCGTCAGCAAACTGATCAGCAATCCCACCCCACAGACAGCACAGCACACAGCCCAGACAATCCACAAGCTATCGGTGTATGCAGTTTGGAGCATCAGCTTCTGTGCACCGGCGGGCATCTATTTGATCGCCTGGACCAAGCCCGCCGCATCCTGACTGTATTCACTAGCTATGGGCGTGAGAGAGGGGTACTTTAGCAGATTGTGATACATGCGGTCCTGGAACACGACGCCACCGATAGCTACACCAATAGCTTGTCCCATGGCTCGGAGAAAACTGAACATTCCCGCGGCGATGGGGAGAGTGTTGCTCGTGGCTGAGGCTTGGATTGCGAATCCTAACAAGGGGGAAAGCAGACCCAGGCCGATCCCAGGAACAATATTTAAGAATATACAGGCAGGAATGCTCGTATCGACTTTGATGTAGGAGATGAGGCCGACACTGAGCATTGAGAGGAGCCATCCGAGCCACATAGCCCACCTGTAATGGCCCCATCTTGTCGTGAGGATGCCCACTACCATGGCGCTAGGGGCTACCGTGAAAGACTCCGGAGGTGTCATTAGGGCTGAAGGTGATTCAGGAAGGCCCAGTGAGTAAGGGTCGTTGCCCGGGAGGTTGCTACCAACTTCCCCCTCGATGAGTGGCGCCACAGTGGTCCTTTCATCGAACTCAAAATCACGGAAAAAGATGATCCTTCCTGAATTTATCTCGAACAGTTTGTACTGATTGGGCTCGCACTATCCTAACAGCCGACACTCAGATGTACGTGGTCCGAGTTTTAACCGCTGTTCCTTCGGAATCAGCACCCGCGAGCCAATCCGTCGAAGATGTGATAGGCTTGGCGGTTTCCCATATAGGATCTCGCAGGGAGTTCTCTTCTGTAGGAACGACGCAGGTGCTCGCAACTTGAGAAAACAACGGTATCTAGAACCTCGGTCCAGAAGGTAAGAGGCAGTTTCGCATCGGACAGGAGAGTGTTGAGTCTCTCCCGGATAGTGCGATTCGTACGCTCCGCAAGGCCATTCTGCCCTTTGCAGTATGGAGCGGATGTATGAGAAGTGCACGTGGAAGTAAGCTTTCTACAGCAAAACACAAACAACCGTTTTTGCGAACGCCCTCGCAGGCTCGTTTACTATTATCCTGTCAAAATCCGCAATACTGATGTGAGTTCGGAAAATGCTAGTAATTTCTGTCCCTGTGTCAAATTCATTGAAGGTCCTCTCCTTCTCAAATGAGTGACTATCTAGGCCATCTATATACTTCAGGATGTGGCAAAAATGAGGCATTTCATCCCACGGAATTCGTCATCCATAACGTCAAACAGTAGATCAGTTCATCTGAATAACATCATATAGTGAATATCACTATATCAGAATGTTGATCATCCAAACAATCGATAGACAAATTCAGCTAAGAAGGAAAGTAAACCGAACGAATGAAAACATATTAAACATGCCTTTTCTGGGCAAGTGGTAATTTATATCAACAGATTCTTACTGTTTTACTGATTGATCCCTCCTGTCCTACCTCTCCCTATTACATCTGGAGCTCAATAGGAATCTTGAAGCAACGGCTTATGTCGCCTCTAAATGGCCAGGCAACGCAGGAGGACTTTCCCGTAGTATCTACTCCGGTTGGCCGAAGGGTATCGAGGATCCTTCTGACCACTTTCAAGAAATTTTCTCGTGAATCCTCTCCTAATGTCTGGAGCCATTTTTGTAGTTCTCTTGGTTTCAATAATTGGTCCCTCAGTTTGGAAATAGCGCATTCAAGGCACAAGTCCGTCGAAAACGACTGTATCAGATCTGTCACAAGTGTTCGCAAAAGGACTCTTCTAGCTACTCCAGTACGGTAGCTTACCTGGACGCCCCAATACTCATCCATAAATTGGATGAGTTGTTTGTTGTCCGGATTTGTAAGAGCCATCTCTTTCACTGTGATGCCTCTTTGCTTATTCCAAGTTTGTGCGACTTGTCCAAGCACGTATTGGCCAACTTAGAAAGCGATTTGTTGCTGCGACTTTATCCATGAGGAAGGCATCGTACCAAGGTACTCCAAGATGTGTGATGACTTTTTCCAACACTCTGCTTCAATAAGACTACATTCGTTGTTTGTTGTAACAATGGCGCCAATTAGAAGGCTGTGCAAGATTAATATAGACCAGATTGGTGACATCATCCATCGCACGAGCCCAGTGATATTTCCCACTTCTGTTGGCGAAGATAAATCCGTCCCTGATTTTCATGGCAACTGGAGAGCCTCGCACATTCCTCCGAAACACAGACAAGGTCTCCTACATCAAAGTCAATTTCTCGCCGGTGGCGGTCTGTCTGTCGCTTTTGGTGGCCCTGAGAGGCTTGAATGGAGCCCAGGTGAAGTTCCAGATCTCTTCCATCCGTTTGGCCATCTCCTGGGCCTGATGTCCTTCTAATTTCAGCTCTCCTGGAGTTGTAGCAGAATGCCAGTCAGACGACGTCTTCGGCTCATAGCTCCGCTCAACAAAGAACAGTGAACCCCTGTAGATGCATGAGGCAAGGCAGCGGCGGCGAAGTTGAGAATTAGCAAAAAGTTCCGGCCAATTATCTTGGAAGTAATCCACAAATGGTCTCAGTCGCTGAGCTACATAGTGATTGACAGCCTCAGTAGCTCCATTAGTGGGCGGGTAGTGACCGCATGAGAGTTTTGACTTGATCTGCAGGATTCAACACAGCTCAGTCCAAAACTCTGAGATAAACTGGCCTCCACGGTCTGAAACGATGCTGTCGGGAAGGCCCACCCATGGATAGATATATTTCATAAAGAGACCTGCCATTTCTTTCGCAGATGTGGTTTTGAAACAGGGGATACAGAATCCACGCTTTCCGAAACGGTCCACGACGACAAAGGCAGCGTCGCGTCCATCCTTTGCCTTGGGGAATGACCGGAAGTCCATCCCTAGATGTTGCCACGGCCGTTCGGGGATGGGGAGTGGATTTAGGAGTCCAGGGGGCGGGTCCCGCCAGGTTTTTGTACACTTGCATATCAGACAGTTGTCAATGTACTGGTCAACATCCCGACGCCACGTTGCCCAGTAGTAACGTTTCTTCACGAGGCGACATGTCTTCTCCTTTCCGGGATGTGCCGTTGACGGCTGGCGGTGGATATCATCTAATAGACGAGCTCGGAGGTCACCTTCATCTGGCACTACCAGTCGCTGTTAGTAGAGAAGGCGGCCTTGATTGGCACACAGGAGGCGATCTATCAGATCCACGTGGGGATCCAATAGGGCTAGCTGTGGTTCAACAGTCAAGGGCTCTGCTGACCCTGACTCCGGCTCTGGGTGTGGGTAGGCTCCTTCTTCCAGACATTCATGTTTCAGCAGAACTTGCATTCGGTGGTCTTTATCAGGCTGTCCATCCTTTCGCGTAAGGGCTTCTGCCAGTGTGTTTTGTTTTCCAGGTCGGTAACAAATCAGGAAATAGAATTGGGACAGGAATTCTGCCCACCGGGCCTGACGGGCGTTAACTGATCGACGTTCTTCTTCAGAGTTATGCTTCTCATGAATGATTTTATCAATCTCATGTAAGGAAGTAGTGAAGATCTCACTCTTCTTTGCCCGGACGTGCCGCATGAAGCCCACTCCGCCAATCATCGCAATATCAATCGGTGGTAGATCCTTTCAGGGAGATGGCTTAACGGGCTTGGGAGCAGGGCTATCCTTCAGGGGATCAGGATCCTTAAGGGCTCGTTGCATCTTAGCAAGGGCTTGACGGTGGTGTTTCTCATATGTCTGGGGAGGTTGGTATCTTGCTCTCTTATCTGGAAAACTGCTAGGGAAGTCGTCCCTTTCCATAAGATGGTCTCTTCGGTCAGCGTCTTTCTGGTGGGCCGCATTAATGGCAGGCCGTTTAAGGGTTGTACGGGGCATCTCCACCGAAACCCGACGGGCTGGGCAGGTCAAAGGGCAAAACCCGGCCCAACCTGCGAAAATGCCAAGTCTAACTTAGTGATTGACGGTTTAGTCCAGGCAAATGACGTCACAAGTCTACGCAGTACCTGGTGGAAGCAATATCCCACAGTTAAGGGTTATCTTCAAAGACACCTCGGAATGAGTGAATACATCCTTATGTTACCATACTCTCCCCAATTCCCCACCATCAAATCAAGATCGCACCCTACCATGGCTGATACCTAGGCCTGGTCAACTCCCATGAGACTCGGGAGTCCCACCATGGGACTCCCATGGGAGTGGGGCGGGTGGGAGATGGGAGTTGTCCTGACTCCCATGCCAAGTTTGGGAGTCCCATTGGTGGGAGTGAAGAAATATATAATTCCCATGGGAGTGCGGTGGACGGGAGTTGGGAGTGACCCTGACTCCCATGGGCGGGATTTGGCAAGGTCTACTGATACCGTGACAAATTTGTAATTAGTCGCGACTAACTCAGCAGGTGTCACGGAACTGATTTACAGAGCAAGCAGGCAGTGATAAGTAGATATCTGACACTCAGGAACTCTAGTTACAGGTCAGGGTATTTACAGGTGCATAGACAAGACGTAGCTCGAAGAGCTACAAAGAGGAGGCGGATTAAGATGCGGGAGATTCTCAGTGTGGGTCATGTGATGATAAGGCTTCGACGGTGCCTCAGGCAACATCGTAAGTTGGCACCGTGACAGCAGGGAAGTGTCGGGCAGGTAGCTACCTGGAAGGCTATTCAAATAGAGAGGAATTCGGTCAGAACTTCTCGGTAAGGACTTTGAGATCACTGTAGGAGGAGCTGCAGGGGCAGCAAGGCAAGTTAATCAGCATAAAAGCTTACCCAATAGGATTCAAGCTGACGCGTACCATCACTGACTCCAAAAGTACTCTAACTTAAATAGGTAAGGCAGTTCCTGATGCAATGTTTAACAGATTGATCCTGTGTTACCTCAACAGGGATAAATACCTAGCTGTGCCCAAGCATTACCAGTTCCAGATTTAAACCCACTTCTCATTAGTCTAATGCAGGATATCTTGATCATAGCCAATGGACCCACTCGAGACTTCTCTCAAGTGTATGCTTTGTTCTGGCGGAATCGGCGAGGGGGAATGGACAAAGGAATTCAATGCCAGTACAGTATTTCTTAACTCCTGTTGAGTTTCATCGAGTAATAATCACAGCTTTTAGTCTTCTTAAAAAAGGATGAAGAGGACAATAGGGAAACTAACAGCAGCATACACATGGGTGTTCTCCATTGTGAGAAATCACTGAGATTCCGCCTATTGCAGGCTGTTCCACTGAGATACGTGACTCGTGGCCAACCAATAACAGCACAGATTATTGTTCACAACTCTACTTCAGCCTTTACACCTGCAGAGGCTTTTCTCCTTCATTCATCCTGCCTCCAATTACTGCAGGGCTATGTTAAGGAAGAATTACACAGGGAACAGATACATTCTGAACAGTTGTTTATGCTCTGCCAGTCCCTTCAGCCTGACAACCAAAGGGATTTTGGATGTCAGGAGCAGTTTGAGTTGTCACGTGAGCTTACTATGTGCTGCTATCAATGAAGCTCAGCTAAACTTTTCAATAGACTGCCCTGACCCAATTGATCCAGTAATACAATTCAGCTCAGTAGATCGGTTCAGAAATTGGAAGCTGAAACTGGACACCGTCAACAGCGAACCTCCTTTGTTGCGATTACCTCCTGAAATCATCATGATGATTCTCAAGCCTCTACCTCCATCAATTCTTCTCAGTTTCTTCTGCGCAAGTAAGCAAACCTTGCGCTATGCGAAACTCTTTTGCAGTCACCATCCATTGCATTTCTATCATTGTGTTGACAGTGTGAGCACTAAGCATGACAAACACATGTTGATGCTTGCTCTTTCTTATGAGCTTTCCCAAACTCAGTATCTCGGACTGGATCAAAGATGGGAACTAGTCTCAAAAGTGGCAAATCTGGCGAAACATGTATTCGATATTCATGGCAACCGTGTGACTGCACCGACCTTGGATGTGAGGGCCCCACTTCAGTATGTTGATCACGCATTTGGATTACAGGAGTTTGTCACAGAGATTCCTGATGACATCAAAACAATCAAAGTTTACATGGTACTCCTTCAAGGAAATTGCTATGTTTGTGGCATTGGATTTGAGGCCAGAGCAGCGCACCTACTCGTTGGTATTGAGCCCCATGTCTCTAACGAGATTGACGTCTTAAACACTGAGATTAACGCAATTCGATTTATTGTGGATTCTTTGGGAGTGAGATCTCTAAAATTTGGTGATTCGGAATGGTCTTCTGGAGATCCAGAATATATCAGATGCTGGGAAGGGTTTAGCAAAAGGCGAGAAGCTACAAAGATTCGGATTGTTCGAGATGTAAGTGCTTTAGGCTGAGTTTATACAAGTTGCTAATATTAGTCTTAGAGGTTGAAGTTTCGACAGATCAACTGGTGTCATGCTTATTCCCCTTCATTTGAAGAAAATATCCTGATGAGATACAAGCATGCATCTTATCATGGATATATTTCTTAAATGGACTTCGTGCGACCAAACCCGGAAAGAGAAATAGAATTAGTGATGAGCTTTGGAAATTTTACAGCTGAAGCTATCTGGCTAGACAAAGATCTTTGTGGCCTTACAATGTACTATGACCATGCTACACATGGCATTTTTGGCATATGTGTACACAGATTGTCAAGGGCATACCATGTTGGCAGAGCACATGCCCTGGCCAGATTCTTCCCATTGCATGGACCTGGTGAGGTGTTAACTGAGATTTATGTTCATACATATTCACAGTTTTCCCCTCCAGCAATAACGGTAAGCCTATATATTTGCATGGTACACTTTCTGTCAGCTCATGTCTTCATAGATCAGAACCAATTGGAACCGACAGTGTTTTTTCGGTTCTGCCCAGGTTCCTGGAAATCAACACATGACCAGAACTCTCCGAGGACATCACATCAAAGGTTTCTATTTTCGAATGGGACCAATATGTATTGAGTCATTTGGAGTAATTTATGCTCCTGGTTCACGTGGCACTGTTTGTCCCAGCATTCCCCCTATGCTGACAATGCCGAAAATAGATTCATCTTATGAATACGAGGCTGGTCTTTATTTCGAGTCTTGTGCTAGACTTTCTGAAGTCCGGAAAATCTTGTTCTACCATGAGAGAGACCATTGCACAGGTCTCAGATTTTTCTACAGTTTTAGCAGTTCAGAAGTTGTTGGACGAATCCAAGGAAACCACTCCCATGAGATTACTTTGTCAAATGATGAGTCAATTTGTCGAATGTGGGTTGTATATGATGATGGAAAATTAAAAAAGATCGAATTTGAAACAGAAGATGCAGAACACCCAAAAGAAGGAGGCGAGCTATATCGCAATACTGAATCTACAGTATGTATACAACCAACTTGTATCTGACAGATTCTGACGTGTTTTCAGGTCATTGCATGGTGGTACTCAAAAACCAGAGATATCATCCGTATTTTTCAGATACATCCAGACACGAAGCTCCCATATACGAGATATTTAGCAGTTGACGCTGAGATCCTGAGCTCTCCAATTTTGTGCTAGATTGGATCTGATGAAGAATCACATATAAGTAATGGAGGGCTTCCTCTTTGTCTTTAAGAAGTCCGTCACTTCTTGGCTTAGATATCTAATTTTCCTCTTACCCAATTTCGATCTCTTACAAGATAAAAACGTAAATGAGCTGAATTCTAAGGTTGTCTCCTCAATATTTATATGCCAACTTGTCCCTCTATTGTGAAGGCCTGGCAATGAGATAGATTACTACTGACTGGCGCCTACTTTGTGCAAGCCCAAAAGCCGGAGAAAGAAAGAAAGTCTTGGAAGAGAAGGCTTGTAGAGAGAAGAGGAACTAGATACATTACCGTGCGACCCGGCTGAGCCTAAAGAGGGGAGGCGAGATGCACCATAGTAGAACTCTTCGACTGACAGCCGAAAAAAAAGGAAAGGAAAGGGGAAAAAAAGAAGAGAGAAAGAGAAAGCAGGGGACATCGTGAGAGTTGAGCAAAATAGCTTCTTCCCACAGCACAAACTGATGAAGTAAAGCAATCCGAGCAGTAGAGTAGAGAGGGCAACCCAAACAACCAACTTTTGCAATCCCATGTCAAGGTCCAGCGCCGTAACAGCTATGTCGAATAGCTCGAAAAAACTCCCTTGTTATGTAAATAGACGTTTGATCACTTATGTGATGGCCTCATTCTATGCAATAGAGATAATATTGACTAACTAGGCAGGTTTGTACGAAAACATTTGAAGATGGGAGAGGAAAAGAAGACTAGGATGGTGAGGGAGAGGTGCTAGGGAATATACAGTGCAAACACCAAGGAAGACAGGAAGCTAGACCAATTCAGGACTGCGCCGTGACAACTTACACTCCAAGTTGACTGCCGATGTTGAATAGGTCATCATTCCCTCGTTGCATGTCCAGCCATCACGTAGAAGACTTAGAAGCATATAGATTCCGACTAGCGTTGAAGAAGATTATCCCACTGTCTGCGCATTCCTCGGCAGGGCTAGAATAGACTCTTCCATCCAATATATACTTAATAGTTCGTGGGTCGGTGGGTGTCGTAAATGTGACCTTCCCCGAAGTCGCAGGCGCCGCAATCTGTAGCCTTCCTGGAGTGCCTCCGGCAGAAAATGGGGCTCCTCTAGCAAGCTGAGTGGTTGGGGGTGCTCCTGCCGCAGGGAATGGAGCCCCTGCCGCGGGGAATGGTGTTCCTCCACTAGGGAATGAAGTTCCGCCAGGACGGGATAGAGCTGCGTTGTTGCGCAGTGCCTTGGCCTCCAATAGTGCAGCATGGATTTCCGCGCCAGTAGTCTTTGGGTCCCTATAAAACTCTTCGCTGCTTTTCCCCTTACCGCCAAAAAGGGGGAAATTCTGAACATCGTTTCTGAGGTTGACGAATCTGAAAATCCGAATCTTGGTCCCAAATGAGCTCCGCCGTATATTTCATTGCGCTTGGCTAAGCCCCCTCCTTCAGTCCAAAAGTAATCCTGCACATATGCAAAAAGCTGAGACTCCATCTCTGCAAGGGTAGTGTATTTATGACGCTTGCACTCTACCACAAGCATAAATACCTTCTGAAATGAAGGATCGTAGTATGCAACAGTAAGGTCCACAGCTTGAGTGCTGTTGCTCATCATGGGTTGCTGGCTGTAAACCAACATATTGTCGTCTCTCATGTATTCATTAAGGACGTCTTCCCAGAAAGGCACAGTTGATGATTCCTTAAGTTTCGGATCACTCGCCGCTATGTATGCACCTTGTAAGGCGGTTGTGGTTATGAGATTGGACTTGAGGGAATTGGACATCTTGCGAACTGCTTTACCATCTCAGTCTCGGAATGAAATTATCTGATGTAATACAACATAAATTATTGCTCACCAAAGTCAATCCAAAGTGAGGAAGGGGTAATCCTTAACAGGATCAAACGACAAGTAGACTATGTCCAAATGATGTACAGATATTCTTCGACTTGCTGGGGTTTTCTCACATTCCACTCAACATAAGTTAGGGATTTGAATAAGAATGAAGAACAGCGCGAATTGCTCTGAGGCCCTGAGAGAGAATTGCTCATTTATAAATTAATTAATAAGTGCGTAATTAACTGGATATCCAGACAGCATGAGGCTTCAGAATTTATACGAAGAGAGTTTTACTTGACCATGTGAGAGTAACTTCTACCACCATTGCCTCATAACAAACTATGTTAGAAATGCGCGAATGAGCTCCTGTGCTGCCAGCCCCAGCCAGCATAGCTAAAGATAAGCGCTTAAATACATATAATAGAACCGCAAATCAAATGTGCTTGCCTATCCGCGGGCCACATGGACGCTACACCGGGCAACGTCGTTCGAATATCATGTTAGTCTGGCAAACTTAGAGGCTTTTATGCTTTCATATAGCTCCAAAGTACAGTACTTTCGGAAATATATCTTTTTCCTGAGTTACTCTGTAGGAAGTCAGGTAAACAGTTTCACTATTTACAATTCAAACTTAACAATTCAAACTCCAGCTATGTGAATGCCACAGTTGTGGAGCGCGCCTATCTAAGTTCGATGCATCTATCCTATTCCTCTAGGCTTGGAGGAGACAAATTGAAACAGCAAGCTTCCTAAGGCCTACTATGGCGACTTGGAGAGCACTTTGCAGGCCCTGCGCGCTAGTACATACTGCATGTGTAGTCTAAATGTCTAATGTTCGTAGTCTTTTTGAAAAGTCATGGATTTCTGCTATTAATAAAAAGTCATAATTCTCCAAGGTTCTCCGCTTCTCCTATTTAAATGTACCATGACTTATTTTGAAAAACCCATTGGATTTGTGCGATTAATCAAAAATTATACTTCTTCAGATATTCTCGGATATCCATAAAGCAAAGTCATTATTATAAGACCCAAAAGCAACGAAAAGAAAATGAGGACCAAATTGAAGCCTTGTGTGACAACCTCAAGGAAAAGAATGTATCTTGTTCGTAGGTATGATAAGGAATTCTAAGCTAGAGAAGGAAAAGATCCAGGGACGGCGCGGCGCTATCCAAACCTAATATTTGTTGATAGCACTATGCTGGACAGAACGAACGAAGAGAGAGATATGGCATAGATGACTATCTAGGCGAGAGAGAGAGAGCTGAGCTATGGTGAAGCTATCTACACTGTGGGCCATGTGACCTAGGCGCTATGCCTAAACAGGCAGGGGGCTCACCTCCATAAAGGCTCTCGACAATACTATGTATTTACATGTCGGCGTTGTGGGGTAAACAGTGCAAACACGTCACACCTTGAAGGATGGCAAAACTTGATATCTCCCAAATCGCTGTTTCGACTGGAGCATCGTTATGCGCTGGAATATCCTTTTTGCTTTGGATTTTTATAATTTCTGACGGACATCCATCCCGACTGGTCTTACTCGTCCAAAACGCATTATTTTTTTGCAGGCTGTGCTGGGGATTTTGATCCTGACTGGCTTACTTGCTTCATTGGCCCTGGCTGTTTATCAACCAGTTCCCCAAAGCGGTGAGTATCCCATGGAGGACTCCTCCCCTTGCCTAGCTAGCTAACTGAGTTCGAAGGCCTATTTCGACAATAAAAGTGGGATTTTTACTAACTACTTCTGCCAACAATTGACGGGGTAAGTATACTCAATTTGATGTCGATGCATCTGACACCGCCGGGTTTCTCGGCCTTGTCAATCGGCGTTTCTGGTCAATCAATATTCTCATCATCTTTCCTATATCGAAATCATTACTACTGTTAACGTGGATTTTGTTCTCTCAGCCGCGTTAAATTCATCCCTAAAAAAATAGGTTCTTTTTTAACCATATACTGGGCGGAATTCGTCATGTTCTGTACAAACTGATTCTTTCACTCACAACGACTGAGATACTCTTCCTTGCAGTCCAATATTTTTGGCTTTGGATTATTTGCAAGCAGTCAAACACATTGTACCCAACGGCTTTTCGATCTTTAGGCTTCTTTCAGCATCAAACCTCCAAACATCGACAGGCTCTTAGGGTAGTAGCCTTGACTGTGACAGCTCTGTGGCTTGTTTCAGGAGCCATCACAATCAGTGCCTTTTTTGCACAATTTTGGGAAACGCAGCTAGCAACAGTGAGGATGGTCCTATCTACCCTTGGAAGTATTACTAACATGAAAAAGACCAAAGTTGCCGTATTAAGCTGATGAAATTAGTAGTTCCATATTTTCTCTCTAGAGAAATCCGTCTTCTGTCTTCAAATCCGAGGTGTGTGCCTTAAGTCAATTCTACAACTTCCGTTCACTGACGTGCTCTTTCTACCCGATTTAGGCCGCAACAAATCCTATCATGTGTTAGTTGCCCCTCTGTACGGTGGACTGAATGTACAAACCGGCCAAAACAAAATTTTTTACCATGATTACCTCCCGCCACACCATGCTAGAACAACCACACGCACTACCTTACTAGATGACATGCCTAGGGCCAATCGAGCATGCTTATAGAAAATTAATATTCTTATATGATATATATGGTAATTATTATTATTCTAATCTATGCCTAAAATATTGATTCAATATCTGGGGGGTTAAATAAGTAGTAATTAATAATCATTTAAAATCATGGGGGTTAAAGGGTGGTTATATATATATATATACATACTATAGTATCGATATCAAATTCGCATATACTAAGGATATCAAATGCCATATAGTAGGGATATCGAATACTATATAGTAGGGATATCGAATGCAATATACTAAGGATATCGAATGCCATATACTAAGGATATCGAATACTATAGTATCGATATCGATACTATATGAGAATTCGATATCCCTACTATGGTATTCGATATCCCTACTATATGAGAATTCGATATCTATACTAAGTATTCGATATAGTAGGAACTCAATGGTTTAATTTTATTTTATGATAGCATCTTTGTGGAAATAGTGGCTATAGGTAATACAAGCGGGTAACAAAAAAAAATTTTGTTTTGGCTGGTTTGTACATTCAGTCCGCCGTACCTCTGTCAACTCTAAAATATTTGGTTTTCTGCAATGGCACAATCAGTGTATTTCTACACACTCTGCCTGTTCCTGATCGACAATTTCGCAAAATAAGACACGCTTCCCAGAACCCGTTCTACGTCCTCGATACTCTGTTGCCTTGGTTTATATTGGATCGTGAAACAAAAATATCAGAAATGACTGAGGAAGTTGGGATTGTAGTGACAGAGGGCTACAAATACGAAATAAAGGGTGGTGCTCTTTTCTGAGAGGCAGAATACCCAAGAAAAATCACAGGAAAAGGGGAATCGATAATTATATATGACCCCAAAGCGGATCCTGGATCACCTGCAGTTTGGGAGAATGGAGAAGACCCTACAAAAGAAGAAACTACTACTGTGCCTTCTGGATGCTGAGTTCGTGTGATTGCAGCTCCTGTGATCGGAGCAATAGTGACTTTCACACGCGAATAATTTCAACTTCTGCTTGATATATCAAGTCTAATCCAGCATCACGGCCGACCATCAAAGTGACCAAAATATCCTGGTTTCGATCCTTCGGAACGAAAAAATGAAGACAATCTGTTCTATCCGAATCGCTACCCCCGGACCTTTCCTTGTTTTCAGCGAAGATTCTTCTTTCCCACTTCCATTGCTCGCTACTCTCTATGGCCATTGAGAGTCGGTTGATAAAATGCGGCAGCTTGCTGGTCGGCATGGACGACATTTTATAGTCGATTTCTGTTATCAGTTCAGCATCACTTTCCTGTGCTGTGCATTACACGGCGTTGTTATGACTTACGTTTGCTTCTTCGTTCCATCAACTCTATTTGATGTTTATCATCATCCTTCTCTGCTTCATGAGATTCGCTTTGGGTCAATAAATCTTGTGCCGTACGCTTCCGTTTGTATCGCATCACAGTGTCTTGTCGATCCACAGGTGTTGGTTGATTTATATTTTCAACAAATACTTGGAAAGGCTCGCAATTCTTCAAAGGCTCCTCATTCTTCAAGCAATGTAAGCTTTCAGCAATCTTGGATGGTATTTGACTGAATTTTTCCGTACTCAGATCCTCAATAAGAAAATCGAAGGTACTATCCGCCATGACTGTTGGGTGGATCCATGCCGATGGCTGAAGTGTCATTGCCCACATCAGAATTAGGTGGGGAGACTGGACGCGAAGCTTTTCACATCTGGTTCGAGTTTTGGTTTTCCTGTCTTTAACTTTGGTAGTATCCAAAGCAGACTCATCTGGTCCTCGATATATAAACACTAGATTCTTTCTGAGCATTGTTGTAATGTAAACGATGGATTCAATTGATCGACGGTTTTAGACAATCGAATTCGGTCTGCAAGTACTAATTCTTTATCTTTCGGAGCTGCCTTGCGCAACAGAAGTTCCACATGGGCCTCGATACCTGCTGAAGCTGCTTTAAGTCGCATGCTCAAAGTTCGAATCGCATTCAACTGGTCTCTGCTTGGACGAATACTAGAGCTCAATTTGGGACCCAAAGATTCCATGTGGTTGAGCAAATTCGAAAATTGCGTCAGAATTGCACCTGCAGACATGTTGGTCAAATTTGATAAAACTCTAAGAAATTTCTGACCTTTAGGGAACACGAAGGAGGCTGAGGGTGGTTTAAATGAACTATTGTCCTAGAACTTTGTCATGTGAATGCCCCCCACTGTGATGCATGACTTGGCTAAAATAGCGCCAGCTTGCAAGAACAGGAAATTTAGTTGATCAACAGTTATCGAGACTTTTAAAATTATTGCTAGTCCAGAACAGAATAGCTAATATCCGAATTCAGCTAATGGTTTTGGTGGTGGATGACGGCAATATCTTTGTGGACGACCAGACTTAGGAATGAGTAGCCATCGACAAACGTAACTCAACCGAGACATGCTATTGGGAAAATATGAGGGCAATAACTTGTTAATTGTATATGGAATGGATCCGTTGGAACGCAGGGTAGCTAATTGGAAGAGCCCACAAATCCAACATGTTCGGGGCCTCCATCTTGCACCTCACGGAACTGTGTCACCCAGCTCAACGCGATCAAGACCAATATTATGCATCCCGCGGCACATCTAGACGGAATGCAAGATGGAAAGTGACTGTCTCATCCTGAAAGAAGTGACAGATCCTACGCAGTGGATCACTGGACGACAGACATATAAGGAAACATGTTTCCTTCTGGCCTCCCTCCTCGAACATCATTGACTAAGACCTTTAATTCATCATAGCAACCCACCCCATACTATCCCAATCTCGTCATAAATCAATTGCACAGCATGGCAACTTTCCAAAAGGCAATCACTGCACCTCCATCTTCATCTCTTCAAGTCATGACGCCTCCTGAAAGCCTACTTCGGGACATGTCCTTGCGAAACGCAGACAAGGGTGTCCTCAAACAATCCATTGTCGATTCTATCCGACAGGTGTTGCCCGAGATGCCTGTTGAGGATACCTCTTCGCCTGGAAACTCCCGGATACCCAATGCGAGCCGACTGACGCAACCTATGGAGGTCTTTCAGGCCATGTTATCTTTCGATGCTACTACTGGAGCCTCGAAGCTGGCGTCTGTTGGCGCCAAGAAGAATAATCTTTGTCAACCGCCTCTTGGCGGTCAGGCAGGGACACCTCCTAACAGCCCACAAATCGCCCCTTCGGAGCCTGCCACAATGGACCAACCGACAAAGTCCGCTAGCCTCCTTATTCCTTCTCCCGATGATCCAAGTGCATATTCAACCTTTGCGGAGAAGCCGCGAGGCAGAATAAGTGACTGCAAGGTCTCTGAACATCTGAAATTGCCGGCCACTGGCGACGAAGTTGATGCTGCGACTCTGTAAAATCCTGGGCCAGCAAATGGTTGCCAGTCAACATCGAACACCGTTGACGCCGTTGTGGAAGGTGAGCAACTGCCACATAACTCTTCTGTGCCTGCAGATAAGGGCGATCTGCTGGGTGGCGCTCAAGCTTCGGAGCTGGAGGTGAAGAAAATCCATGAAGTGTAAGTTTGTTACCATCTATTTTCTTGGCAAATCGCTCATTTTTGTTTCAGCGATGACATAAAGAAAGGCCAGTACAAGTTGGCCACACTTCCCTTCGGCCCTTCAACACCGCTTTTGATGCAGATGGTCTGGAGAAGCAGTTGGTAAAATCTGCTGATACAGGAAGCCAGGACGACTCTACCAATATTGAATATGCTCCGGGTATGCTGTGGCTTGTGAGATCAAAACCAAAAAAGTCAGAGGGCTGAAAAATAAGATAATCCGCAACCTAACAGCCCATTCGCTCCGTGGGAGCCTGTTACAATGAGCCAGTTGAAAGAGCTTTTTGAAGCTGTTTTATGTATGTGACTTGTCGACGTCGTGTTATCGACATCAAGAATATTATTTAAGCTTGAACACAGACCTCAGTCGGCTTTCAATGGCGCAGAGAGCGACCTAGAAAACAACCAGGACAAGGAAAAGGTCTGGCCATATAGAGCAGACTTCAAAATCATTGTGGAGATGTAGTTTCCTGTTCCAAGAATTGCGCTTTAGGAATACTGATTGGTAATTAGGTGGTATAAACAAACATTCAAGTACAAAATTGTCGAGTCGACAGAGACCAAAAAAACAATTGGACGACCTGGACGAATATGTCTTGTGGTCCATAACTGTGTTGGTAGGAATGCACCAGATCAAAGTCCTGAACGAGCTGAGTAACAGCACACATAGTGACATAGATAAGAGATTTGGTGAGACAGTAACTTTCGTAGACATCAAGTCAGAAGCGCTCCGGGATACCTTGCGGGTAGTCCTGCAAAGCGTCAGGACAGCGAGTCTGATCAAGGACAAGCCATTGATAAGTGTTATCGATTCTTCAAATAAAACTGGCACAGACACTGGAAAGTTCAGATTGATTGAGCAAAATATCTTGTTCCACTTTCTGCTGGAACTCCATGTCCACATACAGAACATCCAGGGAGCCGAGGACCGGGACCTCAGATAGCTGGAGCATCTTACACTGCTTGCTGATTACATAAAAGATGCGCGCGCTTCCACCCCACAGTGTGTCACCTCTCTATTGCAGCATCGACGGATCATGTACGACCTTTTCTGAGCACTCTTCAAACCCGGAGATCTTAGATATGCATGTCGCTGACATGGTAGTCTAGGAGCATCGCAAAATTTTGCTTTCGTTGTTCATGATCATCACTCTTACTGGTCTTAGCTTTGTTCATGTCGAAGTTATCAGATACTGGACCATAAGTGTTAAGCACCGACATATCCACGCAAATGCTTTCAAACTATTTTGGCGACATCCGTGTCATACGGCTCCTCGGCATCAACGAGCCTTGTGGGTAGCGTCAATAGGGTCAATAGGATTGTTCCTACTTTTGCTAGGCTCTACGATCCTTGTGAGTGCGAGACCGTACCTGTGGACCCAGCTGACTACAGTATGCACCTTCACTGCACCCGCTCCACTCATCACTAACCTTGTTCGTAGTTCCATGTCACTATAATAAGTCTCAGGAAGGTTTGCTGTTTCCGCTTATCTTCTCCGAACCCCTGAGTGCGATACCGTGCCGGTAGAGGTGTGATTCTTCCGTAGGAAGGATGCAGGGATTCCTGTGGATCTCAAAAGGGAGCCCAACGAGCACGGCCGTCCGAGCTTCCTGAACCGTGGCGTTGCAGATGCTTACCACGCTGTCTGAGTCCATCATATCGATGTGCGAGTCCACTAGGAATGTTTCCACATTCATCAGTATGTCATCCAACGGCATGAGTAGCAATATCTACCAACGCATATCCTCATTTACCACCAAGGAGCCCGCTACGCACTCACGTGTGCCACAAGGCGAGGTGCGCAGCGTGTCGTCACCATCGCGCGCGCCATCCGTTGCCACTGATGCGTCTAGGGTCATGAGCCCTGCCGAGATACGCATGGCTAGACAGCGCAAGGTAGCACCGGTGACCGAGGCACCTGTACCTGCGCCGCACACCCCTGGCCAAGCTACGCCTGCTACCGAGAGCGCAGCCGACACAGCTTCGCAGGTAACCCCTACTACACCACTGAAGGCCTCGTCGGTAAGGGCACAGAGGCTAGCGTCCAGATCCAGAGCCTCGCCGGCGTCGGCTACGCGCGGCAGCGCTGTGAGTGACATACCTAGGTTGACCGACGGCGAGGCTAGCGCCATGACCATAATGGCCGAGTATATGTCCAATACTAGAGATGATGCCGATGCATCGTCCTTCGCAGAGCAACTCATGGCCTGTGTAGAGTTGCGCGAGGCGAGAAGCGGCGCTGGTGCTGATGCACTCAAAGCCGTGTGTGCAGACGCATCTAAGGACGCTAAGTATGACGCCGGTATGTATCTCGGCCTTGGCGGCGGTAATAGCGTGGTAAACTAGCAATACATACCAGTTCTGTGTTAACTATCCCTCTTGGACTTATGTGGCATAGGTGTGCCTACAACACATGTTGCGTTGCTTTAAAATGCATGAGCATACGGGGAAGATCCCTGCAACGCTTCGCAGTTGCTCTAGGGACTAATTGACACACCTGCTCGCAACCCGCTACGCTATGGCTTCTCATAGACCCGTTGTTCCCGTACCCAGTGCCCCGGTGGCATGGGACGATGATACTGTCAAGAGTCTCGACGTCGTCTTCGCGCCCATCGGAGATAACACCAACGAGTTCACTCGCGATGAGATACGCACCAAGGTTCCGCGCAGGTACTTCGACATCAAGCTGAGCTTCCAGTGGGATGGACAGGAGTCTGTGTACCTCAAGGCCGATGACTCTGTTATCCACTACGTCCCGCCAAGACCTCCCAGGGGCAACCGCGGCAAGTCTGCGGTGCCCGTAAACAATTATGGGATTTCTCGCGTAGTCCACAGCATGGCTAGGGTACTCAGTACTGGCAACTCCCTGGCACTGAGGTCGTTGCTGAGACTTGGGTTGCCACCCCCACCTCCTCTTCATCCAATAGCTCCTGTTCTGCAAGACGAGACAGAAAACCTTTACAGCAATGGCCAAGCATCACATGTCCTATTGCCTCCCTGATGGCTACTGCTGTACGCGCGCAATCCCTTACACCTCCCTGAAATCTCATCCTGCCGTCAGCGTATAGCATGCAGCATGAGTTCTTGTTCGCTAGAGTCCTAAAACCTCCACTCTCAGGCTCGCAAAGAACCTTGTAATAAGGAGCTGATGGCTGAGATATGCATGCCGACCAGGGCGGGAACACCGTAGAGAGTATATGCAACGACCCAGGCGACAGCGTGCGGACATACGTCCCGGATGGTATGGTGACACAGAAGCATAGCTTGGCTTGCGTGACATTACAGAAAGTAATGTCGCACTTGGCTCCATCGCCGCGCCTAGCCTTGATTACGTCTACAACATGCGGCGCTAGCCTACCTGACACCTGCACTACAGTTCCTTACTGCGCGTCCGTTCATATAGTCCTCCTTGGTATGCTCGGCAACGCTCGGTGCGTTAACACCTGGGTTCTCAGCGCATACCTGATCCACAGCCGCTCGGATGGAGTCGAGATCCACTCCCCTTACACTCACCATCGCGGAAACTAGCTCAGGTGCTCTCGTAAACGCTACGCACGACACCCCAGACCCAGCCCAGGACCCCAACACCAAATATTCCTTGACATCCGAACTCAGTACCACGTCCTCCCCTACCAGCCCCCGAGCTACCTCTCCAAGCACCGAAAGCACACACTCCGATGGTCTCGCAGTATACGCCCCCGCCGCTGGAATATTGTACTTAAAATGCCTAGGCTTAGGCTGCCTGTTTCCCTTCTTTCCTGATCTGGTGTTGCGGAAGTATACCGAAGCCATGTCATACACGCCGTACGTATAGCGGCAGCGCTGCTGCAGGCGCTACAGGTGCTACAGCAAAAATGTCTGACCAAATGGCTAGATATAGAGATTTCGAGGAGCTTAGCCGTATACTCGAGAACTCCGGTATCACCGCAAGGTAGCTTCACAGCAGACTGGGCCAGCACAGGAGTTCCTTTGACCCACAGAGGGATTGCTGGTTGTTGCCTGAGGCGAGGGTTTCTTGTGAAATAAATGAATGATGTTCTCTCTGGTTCAAATAAGGCTCCTGATTCCCTGGCCCACTGGAGGGCCCTTGGGATTATTCTCTCTTGTAATCGGACTGTGTTTGCCTCGGCAGAGGGGGCCACCACCCAATGGGTGTAGTCGTTCACGAACGCAATAGCCCCCTTCTTATCAGTAATACGAACCTTCACCAATTTGGCATTCATAAAGAGGAATAAGATTGGTGACAGGGGAGAGCCCTGTGGCAGCCCTGCGTGCTTAATTGCCATCTCCTCTGAGCAGTACTTATTGACAACAATCTGTGCATGGCGCTCGGAGCAGAAGCACAATATCCACCGTACCAGTATCTCTGGGACCCTGTTCTCTAACAGTCGGCGAAGGAGGACCTCCTTGGACACTCCATTGTAGGCTCCTTTTACGTCGAAACTCACCAGACTAAGGACTTTTCCTGACCTCCAGGGGTCGTAGATCTTTTCCACTAAAATGTTCAGTGCTTGCTCACAGGATCGCCTGCTGTGCGCTCCAGAGTGATTTACTGGCAGTAGCTGGTGTTGCTCAACTAGATAGGACATCCTCCTGGCTACGACTGCCTCCATTGCTTTCGCAAGCGTTGATAGGAGAGATATCGGTCGGTATGATTTGGGCAGCGTTCGGTCTTTTTTGAACTTGTGGAGCACGACAATCTTTGCTGTCTTCCAGTCTTGAGGGATGCATCCAAGCCTTAGTGATGCTTCGAATATCTGGAAAATCCGTTTCCCCACTGCCGGCCACGCTTCCTGCCATACTCCCATTGGAAACCCGTCTTGTCCTGGGGCCTTCCAGGACTGGGCACACCATACGGCAGTTTCAACCCCCTCGTACGTTAACGGCTCGAACGACAGCGGTAGCAAGGGCTGGCTTGTACAGTACTGGTCTGTTGCTCTTCTTGTATGGGGGGGAGAGGAGGGCGCCAGAGACACTAGGGGTTGGGTGGCTCGCGGTCGCCTGTGGCAAAGCCTTAACAGGCCCGGTCGATTCCAATAACGTAATTCCCAACCGAGCCGTCCACCCTAAGTCCCCCTTAAATCGTTCTCGATGGCCCCCAATCGCTCCCAATCACCCCCAGTTCGGCTGAGGTTCTCTCCTCCAGTCTGGGTCAAATAGTTACAGGGGGAAACAGAACATCGTGGTCATGGCCAATCTGAAGCCTTGCGGTCCCCAATCGCCCCAAATCGTCCCCGTAGGAGAGTTTTACACGAACCGCTAACGGCCTCCCACACCCCGTTTCACCAATTGACTTGTTTTGGACAAGAAGATGTACGTAGGAACCTTTTAGCTAGTTGAGGTTGGAATAACGTTATCTCGGGTTGCATGTTGGATGTTCCTCATCGACGCATTTTTGTGGGGATTTTTTTGGGCCAACTTAGTTGACAGGACGCCTGCAACTGGTCAATGTGTTGTTAGTATGACTCCCTAACGTTCCATGGCATCTGTTCTGACTGGGGGTCTTGGGCGACTCGGACAACCTGCCGATCCTTGTGGACACCAGTCGCTGGCCTCGTCCACCCTACATGCACACGAGATGAGAAACAACGGCACCATGACTGAGATTATTGAGACGGAAGCGTTGTTCATTTTGCCAAAGACTAGACGTGTATCCTGTTATTCATAACCTGGGGCCCTTAGAGCTAGTGCGGGATTCCGTTTCGTAAGATACTGGTTGCGAGAGACTTGCCAAATCTACTACCAGAAACTACAGGCGAGCCTGGAAATGTTGTACAGAGGCAACGGCTCTAAAGCCGTACAGTAGCACTGACACCATGCACACTTTTGGGGTCCTGTGTAGCGTGGCTGGAAATCAATCTACCGCATTCTTTGATTTCTTCAGGAGTCGAGTCGCCGTACCCCAAGAGGAGCCTTTGCTTCTTCCCTGGAATCAAAGATGCTCATATTTAAATATACTAAGTCTCCAAATCGTCTATTAAGTTAAATCTAACCATCGATTAGCTTGTTAATCTCGCGGGTACCGGATGGTGCGGAATATCATCTGCTCAGATATATATCTCCAGGTCTCAGCCATACATACATGTATATATTTCGGCACACATGCTTGCAATTTTCCGAAGAGGACAGCAATAAGTTTGAAAATAGAAGTTTGCCAAAGACGGGTGATGGCTGGCCTGAAAACCACGTGATCAGGAGCGCTAATTTTAGAACAGGTTACAGAGATCCACGGGTGAGGCGCGGATTTTCTGCGGATTTTCGCCGCTACCCAAAGCAGTATTTTCAACGCGTTGATTTTTTATTATTCCGTACCCCTTTGCAGTCTCACATCCACTCCAGAAAGTTACCTCGGATTGATAAAAACTGCTTCATATATAAGGCATGTTTCATATTAATTATTAATCGCGTCATTGTGTGTTCTCGTTTTTCCATAGCCATTCTTCAAGAAGCCACCACATACTAAGTTAATTGCAGCAGGACGAGCGTTGATGACCTCCAGCATAGACGGGCGCCCTGAGTAGTAAGTTACGGCAATGCTAAAAATGGCTTTCTGCTCCATACATACATGTCTAAGCCCTAGTATCTAAGAAGTTCCATGAACTGACAGACCCAGATTCAACTATAGGCTGCTCCGCAAATTCGCAGGCTTTATTGGCAGACTGAGTAGCTAATGGTTGTCTGGCCACACTCCAGATCTGAGCATGCATTTGTTTGACCCCCAAAGGGCGAATATGTTTAATAAGAAATGCTACTGCTATGCACGTAGTGGAGAAAGTAGCCGCAGAATCTATGTCCAGCTACTGCGAGGCTATGAGCAGCCTGCACCCAGGACAAATGGGGGGACGCAAGCAGCGAAGTGCGATTGATGCGGTCGCATGCCTATTCCAGAGTACCCATGAAGCCTGGAAGCAACGCCAGCTCATGGGAGCCCTTTTCATGGATGTGAAGGGAGCCTTCGACCATGTCAATCCAAAGAAGCTCATGATGAGAATGATAGAGTTGGGCCTAGATGGGGATTTAGTTCGATGGACGCAGTCATTCTTGACAGTCAGACAAGTTCAACTGGTCATCGACAACATACAATGCCCAACTCACGGCATTAACTCAGGAGTCCGTCCGGGGTCTCCAGTATCCCCTATTCTATTCCTCATCTACATCAGTGGGGTGTTTAGTGCGATAGAAAGGGCAGTCCCAGGGGTCCAGCCATTATCTTTTGCAGATGATATAGGCCTCCTAGGCCCAGGATATTCAGTACAGGAAACATGCGGCAAGCTACAAGAAGCTGCAGAGGTAGCTACTGAGTGGGGTAAAGAGAATATGGTCCAGTTCGACTCAGAAAAGACAGAAGCAGTTCTATTCACCCGGAAACGTGGCCGGGAACTCCGTGACCAGACCCAGCGAGCCCGTATCAGGGTAGGGAACTACCAAGTTCCGTTTAACCACGAGGCGACTCGATGGTTAGGCATCTGGCTAGACGCTGGCCTTACATTAAAGACACACTACCAGAAACGTCTTCAGAAAGCCCGGAATGCTGAAGCCCGCGTACGATCTCTATGCCAGAATCATGGGCTGGCCCCAGGACTAGTCCGGAGGATCCAGATAGCAGCAGTGCAATCTGTTGCCCTGTATGGTGCAGAGCTCTGGTGGCGTTCAAAGTGACTGCTTAGCAGGGATGCAGCTTATGATTAACCGACAAGCCTGGGCCATCACAGGCATGCTTAAGACTTCCCCAGTTGGCCCACTAGTCAAAGAGGCGGGCCTGACCCCATGTAATAAGAATTCCTTTCCGTCTATGTGATGAGCCGTCGGATATCGAGCCGTCGCATATCGGACCCTCACATATCAGACCCCCACAGATCTTGTCGATCTACAAACGATGACATAGACTGATCGGTCTGCAAGAGCTCATGAGTCATATTGCCACTCCTGTACCTGCCGTGTCTATAGGAGCGCTTTACCCAGGCTTATGAGAAACTCAAGCTTCAGTTTTTCTGTATTTAC